CATTAATTTTAAAACTTAAGTACCCAGTTTGTAAAAAAATTATTTATGGCTTCACATAGCATAATGCACTTGCATACACTTAAAGCAGTTAAGAATATTTCAATAACTTTAAATTGTACTAAAATTCCAGAGTTCTTAGAACTTACAGGGTTTTACAGACAATTAATTCAAAATGCTGCTTAAATTTCAAAATCTTTTTTTAACTCTATGATTACGAAAAATTCAAAAATTTAATTAGACCGAAATGGAAGAAAAGAACTATAAAGAATTAAAATAAGCCTTGTGCAAAGTTCCGGTATCTGCACTTGTCTCGACAAACCAGTTATATCAACTACTGATGAAATTCTGATGCTATATCGTGTTATATCGCAGATATTAAAGAAAGTAACACCATAAAAGATAGCATAGATTCTAGTGGGGAAGAAGGATGCTTGAAAGTTAAAAACATTTCAATATTTAGCAGCACTAGCAACAGCAATTGATTTAACATCCTGCTCTGACTGCAAGCCTAGTGATTGTCAACTGATACAGTCTTGTATGCTATCTTCTAAACGTATTTTAATAAATCTCCTGACTAACAAAAGCTTCTCTAGCACGTTCTAATAGATCCGTTGATATAAAAAATGGAAGCTGAAATAAGCTTAAATCCACGATTACGACGAAATAGTTACACAAGAAGAAGAAACAAGGCCTCTACAAATGCTCCGCTTACTATACATCTAGGAATTAAGAGGATTCCAGTGGGAGAAGTTCAGGAGTCGTAGGTAGTTAAATTGATTAATTAGAACCTGCTGAATCCAGTGGTTTCTTTATTTATGTCTCTAAGCTTGGAAAATTTCGAGATATTTGCTCTCGAAGTTCGCACATTATACACATCCTCTTATGGAACAACATGAATACATCTTAATTTTTTAACCATAATGTAGGAGTTACACATCAGAGTGGTAATTGTTTTATAAAAAAATATCAGCTTTCAGATGGTAACTGGCAAAATATAGGTAGCCCTGAAAAAATTCGAGATATTCCGGAAAGTATTCATCAAGTCGTTGTATTCTACTTGTATTTGCATACAGTTTTTACAGTTACGCAAATACATACATGATGGTGCTCGCACATATACTTGCAGCAGTGATACCAACTGACACAATTATTTTTGGGTTGGTACCAGTGCTCGCCGGAGCTTCCTTAACGGAGGACAGGGAGATCTCACTGGATTGTCAATAGCAGAAAAGTAACTTGAGCGCTTCATGAAAAAAAAAAAAATAAATAAAAAAAGAAAAACAAAGTTCTCCTATTTCTGATGGACCTGTAACCATTTTAGACATATATAGTACAAAAAATTTTGATTCATCGAAAAAGGAAAAAAATCAGTCAGCTCCGATACCCCAAAGAGATAAATCTATCCTTTCTCTTTTCTTAAATTTTAACCCGGATTTACCCTCTACCACAAGCACAACAGGCACAAGTCACAACAAAAAGCTGATACTAAAGCTAGTGATGAGAATATATTTATAATTGTAACAATTCTACTAACAAGAAACCCAAAACTGCACTTTAAAATTAGTACAATTCAGGTTTGACAGTGACACATCAAGTATATCAGAATATGTAATGATTGCTGAAATTAAACGCAATCCATAACTGCAATTAACAATCTGCAGATCAACGCATGAACATGCTTTGGAAGGCCGTTTTGATGAAAATAATGTTAGGAAATCCGTTTTAACTAATAGTTAGAGAAATACAAATCTTAGTAATCTCTACCTATGTTAGGATTATTGTATACCACCAAAACTGATGAATATAGTAGGAACAATGAGGAATTACAAACCAGAGTTAAACAAAGCAAATTCTTAGAATCTAAAAACTTCATCTCATTTTTCACTAGACTATTCCGAAGACTCTGAAAATTCTATAGAAGAAAAATAAGCTTTTCTATAAGATTAAAATCATGCATTAGACGCTCCAAGGCTGCATTTACGCTAATAAAAGATAATTTTGATACTATATAAAGAGATCCTAATGTTCTATTGAACAAGGAGATAGTGAAGAAACATAGAAAGATTATATTGAATTATAGCAGATACATCTTCTTGTTCATGTGCTAACCAGTGGGACCATTCCGCTATCTGCTTCGATCTTAGACTTTCTTCAAAATTTACTATCAGTTTATTCTTACCTGCTGCTTGTTGTACATTTTTTTACAATGCTTTTCTTTTATATACTTCCAATGATTTTCTATTCAATTACTCTGGCCTCTCGTCTTTCCCTCTTAAAAAAATATTTCTATCATTTTACAGTTCTTACACCTTTTCTAACGTTTCCTGTAACTCGAGTAAGTGTTAAGATGTTCTACATATTTTACTTATAATGTGCTATAAATTTTTCTTATTTTTTTTTGTCCTTAGTTCCCCACTGTCTTTTAAATATCGATTTAAAAATAAAACTTTTCATCAAGCACATTTTTATCTTATACAGTTATGTAAAGTCAGGTCTCTGAAGTAAAAAAATTTTTTTCTTTATCTTTATTTATAGTCTGTTTTTCTGCAATTATTTCTCAAAAATCTTTTTATAAATAGATTTTTAAAACTGTACAGTAACTCCAGCAGAACATCGTTTAGTTTTTCTAATTTTTTTAAATTCCTCGATTATTGTACACGATAATGATTCTTAATTTATTTTTCTCCTTTTGATTTCCAATATTGTAATTTCTCTGTAAAACTCATATTCTGAAAGTTTGACTATTCCTTTCATATGTTTTTAAACCCTTACTTACAGTTTTCTCTTTGCTCTTGTATTTTATTTTTCTCTAACTACCATTTTACGCTTAAGGATGGTCAAGAGGTATACAAAAATGCAGAGAACTTACTCAAAATTTATACCCTTATAGTTAAGCTCACTAAGAACGTTTCTGAATTTTCTCAATATTTTATATGGTTCATTTTTGTATTAAAAAATACTGCAAGATCGGATCCGGGGGGAGGTAAGTTAACCCATGCTTCAATGGTAAATACGTATACTGTTTTCGCAAAAACAGTTCTTGCAGGTTGAAAAATGCAAAGATTAGTTCAAAAAAATTATAATGATAAAGTCTAATAATAAGGGATTAATTTGTCATCTTAAAACACACATGTTATGGCCTATTGTATAAAGAATTTTAACAAAGAAGCTCATACTTTTTGAGTCCGCGAGAGCATTGTAAACTCTACGCGAAAACGCTGGCAACATATGATTATATATATGTATACACTTTGTAGTACATGCGCCGGATGAATGTCATCTAACCTTGTTTGCTACGTGCGACAGTGCGACTTCTGCAAAGTAAACAAAGCCTCCTCTGACAGCAAGAAAGCTCCCTTCAAACGTTTATTAATTAAAAATTGTATATAAAGTTTAAAATTTTGTTTATTTATCCTTTGCAAAATGATATGCGTATGAAAAAATAAAAAATAAGACAACTCGCATGACAGGTATTATAATTCAGGGTTGCTACTTCGAAGTGAAAAAATTAAGTAATGAGCGCTGTTGCCACGTTTCCATGCTCCAATTCGAAATAAATTGACTCAATGAATGTATTTTATATTCCTTACGAAGATTTTCAACATCATTTACTAATGTTTTTGAACAATATTAGATACTATAACCTGTACTATATGTACTAAAGAATAATTACTTCGCATTTGAATTTATATTTTAGAAGTTGGCGTCCCTACATTTTCCCTATGTTACAGTACAGGTCCCCCTTACCGCTTCCCCCGCAAAATGATCCTCTTGACCATCCATTAATTTCAATTATTAGTTTTCTAAGCCAGAAATCTTAATATTACCTAATTCATCTTAACCAAATTTCTGGAATAATTAATGCAATAAATTTGTTCAGTAACTCTTAAGTTTACTTACAATATACAACTTTTTATTAAAGCGCCTTTTTTGTGTGTTTTTTTGAGCCTTCTTAAGCTCTACACAAGTTTTTTAATTTTTTTTTGTCTGTTTGATAGTTTTTGTCATATTTAACGCTACTCTGTCTTACTTTTGGTCTTGTATTTGTCATTTCTGTTTTTCTTTGCGCGTACACTCCACTACTTCCAATTTCGTATTTATTTTTATATTCACACCAGAGAACTTCTCATTTAGTATCGTTTTAAAATCAAATACAAAACACATTCCTTCAATTTTTTAATTTTAAGTGTTATTTTGCAAAGTGCAAAATTTAACTAAAAAACTTTTGAACCTCAATTTTTAAACTGCCAGTTATTAAATGTTTTGTAAATTTTTGTGGTATAGAGCATTGAATGTGGTATGGTTTTTCGTAAGTTTTGTCTGGATACGTCATTATTATTGGAAGTTTGATAATTTTGATGCAAAAAATTATGTTTATCTTACTGTATGCGATTAAAAAAATATTTTCTTATGCATCCATTTAATTATATTTTTTTTAAATATTTATAACTGCTGAAACTGATCAATGGCAAATAAAATATGGTGGTAATTTTACTCTTATTAACCAAAAGTTGGCAAAGACAGATATTTGTCAGCTAAATGTATTGATAACGGGTATATTTTTTTCTAATCGCTAATACAATTTTTCAACTAGAAATTGACTAAGGGGAAGCTAAAAATTAGTAACTCATTAACTATTGTGATAAGTTGAATTGAAGGATTTTCAAAAAATCCTGTCACCTTTTTATATCTCTTGGGTGTATTAATAGCTATTTTGTCTTAGATCAACTTTAATATAAAAGTAAGTAAGCTTCACAACAGAGTTCTCACCTTGTTTATTAAAGTTTAAGCTCAGAAATATAAATACTTAACTTTTCTGTTTAACATAAAGTTAGCAAATCCAGCGATAGTTCCTTGAGTGCTAATAAGGTTATAAAGAACACGTTATTAAACATAAGATGATTTTAATACATTACAATTGTATTGTTTAACTTGAGATTGAAAATTAAATGATTATGAAATTTTTAAACAATGCATTACAAAATTATATTTTGTTACAGATAAATTCAGAACTAAAAACAAGGATAGATCTAACTTTATGAAAAAATTTCCAGAAGATGTGAAGATGGCTGAAACCTTGACAAACGGAAACCCTAACATAATTCTCGATAACAGATTTAGTCCAGACAAAAAACCTGATGTATCGGGATTGTTTGGTGAAAAAAAAATGCTCAAAAAAAAACGTGCACGCGACGATTTAGATAAAAAAAATAATTTCAAAATCAAAGTCACTCATCCTAGGTTTATAAAAAAAAATGATCATGAAATTCGTATTAGGCAACAGCCTAAAATATCACCATTAATTTATAATAGTTCCCTGCATGAAATATATCCGTGTCATGTGTGTGATTTTACTTCGACGCGGGTTAATGTAATCATTTACCACCTTAAAAACCATAGGTCCAATAAAGAGACAGCGACAGTGGGATATAGATACTATTACGATGCGAAACTTAAAAAAGTAGCAACTCATTGTACGACAAAAAAGTATGTTAAGAGATCTACGTCTCGTAAAAAAAATGAAAATATCGACGTAGAAATTAAAAAACAGAATATTCTCCCCTGCACTGATGATTCTGCAAAAACAGAAAAATCAGATCCTGAATTACGAGAAAAGTTACTTGCTGACTGGAATGTAGATTCAGATGAAGATGAAAGTATAAATTCAAAAAAACCTTTGTTGGATTCTCTAACAGCATCAAGATATTCTTTATCTAGCGAAAATCGTATCATAGATTTTGCATTACATAATGATGACTTCGAAAGAAATAAGTCTGACAACAGTAAGCTTCTACGGGAGTCTAATGAACTGTTACAAGAAACAAACAATTTTATCCAATTAGCTACTTCAATTCATGGATCTAATAAAGTGTGTAATTTACAGCCCCTCGAAGAATGTGAAAATTCCGAAGCTCTAATATTAGAAAAAAATGATTCGTTTTTCGTGAATAGACCAAAGAAAGAACAATCCAGGACAGAAATTGATGGTGACAAAAAATCGCGATTATCTTGCTTTGATTTTGACGAAGAGGATATTTCAGAATCAAGTATATTATCTGTCCGGAAGCTTTCTAGAGGCTTAGGCTGTAAAAACATCTCAATAAAAAAAGAAATAATAAAAGAATTCGAAATGAATCAGGCTCTCAAAAGGACCTTTGATGATCCAAAGCTCTGTAACACAACACCGAAGAAAAAAAAACATACAGAAGATGATAAACTTTCATTTATTTCCACAAACGGTTTAAAAAACTCTAAGGATGATGATATGAACGAAAATATCGACATTATTAATACTGAAATGATTGAACCATGCCTTGATCAAAAGTTAGGTAATTTTGAGATTGATCATAAAAATGAAAAGCTCACCAAAAACAATGAAGAAAATTTTAATTTTTCACAAAAATCTTTTGAACTAGATAATAGTGACTTAAAAAAAGATGAAAATTTGGATGATATATCAACACACATTTCCGCACATGAATTAACTGTTAATGAAATCGTAGATAATATAAAATCAATTGCTTGTAAAAAAAACATCGGGGACAATGTATTTAGGCAAAAAAATAAGAAACTTGTTTCACCTAAAAAGCTTACTGTTGCTAGTGAAAGTGATACTTTAATAATAGAAGATCAAAAATCAGATATTTACCTACATCAGAATGAAGCTATAAAAACATCTACAATAAGACAGGAATGTAATATTAATCAATCATTATCAAATAACGTTATAAAGTCTGAAAATAACGAGAAAATTACACTTACAGATTGTAAAATTGAAAAACAAAATCATCTTATATTCAACAAGAAGACAGAACATAAAAGTAATGTAAACTCTGAAATAACAATTGTGGATACAGAACATAATTTTAGTAACGATAAAATTAGTTTCTGCCTTAATGAGTTACAACAAAAGAGCGAAGTAGAGGATGACATAATACCCATATTTACTCCAGACACAAAATCTGGTTTACGTATGCAATCTGAAACCACTTCATTGGGAATCTGCGATGACCACAAAAAATTCGAAATAAAATCATCAGAACTCAAAATAGATGAAACCAATCAAATGCCAAGAAAAAATTTTGCGGTCAATTATTTGAATAATGAGTCATCTAGTGAAATTAAAAATGCCACTTACCCTTTATTACATACCAAGAGAAATGTTTCTCTTTCAAATTTTGAAAGTAATTCTTGCACTAAAAACTTGGATGTAACACTTTTCAATGATGGTTATCATGGTAATATTGAAGTGAACAGAGTGTTGATTGACGATGTTCCAACAGATGTTAAAGCTCTTCCTAATATTATTGCAAATGATGAACCGTGCGTTTTAGGTGATAATATGAACTTGAATGAAAAAAAAACAGTTATTGAACTGAATAGAGCCCTTGACAACAGTTCTATGCAGATAAAACTTGATACAAATTTTAAAGATAAAAATGAAAAGTGTATTGAAATTATAAGGTACACTGTTTATGAAAGCGCAAATCCACAACTAAGCTCACCAAACAAAGCTTATGTTACAAAAAATCCTATGAAAAAAGAATGTGAGTGTGAAGAAATGCTTCTACAGAATACTGAAAAAACTGATTTAGTATTAACCGAAGATAAAGAAGAAAAAGAAGAATCAAAACAAATCTGTACAGCTGGTTTTACAGAACCAGTCCTGAAAGGTAAAGTATTGAAAGTTAAATATTTAAGTAAAGAAATTTGGAAAAATATTTTTCAACTTCCTTATTTATTTCTAGATAAAAATAGTGATGTAAGATCTGATATTTGTGATAATGACTTTAAAAAAACCATAGATATTCTAGAACATTGCTTACCAGATAAGGAAAAAGATTCAAAATGCTCGCGTGAAGTTATTCCGCTTGATAATTCAAATTATGAACAATATTCGTGTAATTTATTGGGTGTAAACGAAACGAGTAATTTAGAAAGTATGAAAAATGAAGTAGAAACAAGTCATAATGTAACCATTAACACTGTCAAGGACACTATTACTCCTCAAATTCTTACGAAAGATAAATCTCTTGAAGTTCGTGATGTTTCTGAAAAAATAGATAAAATGACTTCTGATTTAAATGTAAAATTAGTTAAAAAAGATGAACTTGTGAAATTAGCTGGAACAGATGGTGTCTTGATCCCAGTTAAAAAGCGAGAAAAGCCAAGAATCATTGAAAATGTTACTTTAAAAGAACCTATGATTCTTAAAGCAAAGTTTGGCGGGAAACGTGGAACTAAAATTAATAAGCATAAGCCGAAAAATGTCCATATTAAACTCAATGATTCAAAATGTTTCATGACGACAAAATTTATCAAAGAAGCTGAAACTTGTAAGAACGTGAAAACCGTAAATAATGATACACACAGCAGTCTACTTCGAGAATGTGATGTTATCAATCTTTCTAGTGGTATGCCGATACTCAATCAAAACAGAAAAGAGGATCAAAGTTTTACCAATTTTTCCCAAACAGAATCAAATGTCTTAAGCCCCAAAAAATGTGTAAAGCATTCTGAAAGTATCACTAACATAGAATTTGATATTAATTCAATGCCTTTTGTTTTTAGTGAAGATGTTTTATCAGCAGAGAGCATTGAACAAATGCCGGTTTTAATATCTTCAGATTTACCTAAAGTTAATCAGATAAATACTTCTTTATCACAAACTTTAAAGACATCGGATGAAAATAAAGTTGTAACGAGTGAAACTTTCGAAACATTCAGACAAGTTAATTCATTAAATGTTATGAAAAAAAAGGTGGTTACCCCAACAGTTTTAAAAAATAAAATTAAAGCGAAACCAATGATAACTAGCATTAAAACAATTGTACCACCTGTTAAATCCAAGATACCGAAAGGTAATTACCAGACCAGTTTACAACCTTTAATATCTTCTGATGAAAAAAAATCTCCCGGAAAATATGTGATTGTTCAAACATCTGGTCAACACACTTACAGTACTCATCAGAGTGTAACTATTCCGGATAATGAAAATTCTGCGAATGCTCAAATAGTACAGCAAGGTAGCAAAGTAGTTATCATAACTTCTCCTCAACATGATCAGTTTCAAACGCATTTACCATCGAACTCTGTTTCTAAAAGTTCAAGTACCGGGAAAACTCAAAAAGTCATGAAAAAACATGAAAGTCGCAAGATGCATAACTTAAACTGTCATAGCCTTAACAAATCTTTAACACCTAAAAATAATCAAATTAAAAATACCCCTCATGTGTATGAATTAGCTAATAAAAAAAATTTCACCGAAGAACAAGGATCATTGAAAAATGATTCATCTACAGCTTCAAAACAACGATCATCTTTAATTTTGAATTCAACTCAAACTCTTTCTTCAAAAAAAAGTTCTTCAGTTTCAGCAAACTCTTCTATTCTCAAGGATGAAGAAACTACGGCAAAAAATATTTGTAGTTATGATACGTTGTCTCAAAGTCATATAAGACCTAAAAATATTCCAACTTCAATATCTCCCACAGTTGTTGATCAAATATTAACTAACCCTCAAAGTATTATCTCAAAAGGAACTGTTTTAACTCCCATTACTGGGTCTCAAGTTAAAGCAATAGCAGCCAAGCAATCAAAAGGAAACATGTATGATTGTAAAAAATCTCAAAACATAGTTCTAAATGCAGGAAAACATAAAAAATTAATCACAACAAACTTTTGTAAAGTTACTCAAAACACTTATGATATGAATGTGCCGAAAAAAATTTTGTTGCGGCAAACCAACGACGTAATGAATAAAACAAATATAAAAGAATATACTGAAGAGTTAATAAATCAACAACCATTACCGTACAAGATCGAAACACACCGTGAAGTACAAAAAGGAGATAGTGTAACTGAGAAGGTCGCAGATAATTCTAAAAAAAAAGAATTTTTATACTTATCTAAAACTGTTAAGGTCAATACCCTCAATCCAAGTTCTAAATTATGTGAATCACTCAATAGTAGTAAAACTTTGCTCAAAAATATCCAAAAAAAAGGATTAAAAAAGCAAACAGAAGTATTGAATTATTTAGACAATACGTCTAACAGATCAAGTATAACACCTTCAAGTTTAAATGTATCTTCACCAACAGCAATAGCTCACTTAAGTGAAAAAAAAGGAGTAAGTAAAGGATCTTCAAAAAAATTAAGTCCAGTAAATCCAACAGTTTCACTACATCCTGATATTGCTTCTTCTGAAGAAGAGAAATATAGAGACTTACAAATTTCTAATGAGACTCAATTCATGGTACTACCTGCAGAATGTAATGAAGAGGCACAAACTTATGTGTTTGTTGCAGTAAATGAGCAAGGCGATCTAATTTCATTAGATGATAGTTCGGCCATAACTTTAAACGAAAATTTACCTTCTGAACATAGTAAAACTGTTTATATTGATTCTAACACCTTATGTGGATCTAAAAACTTAGATAACATAGTACTTCATATTGATAACAGCTCATTTTCAGCTGTAGGTCAAAGGGGAGAAAAAACTTTGATTTCAGAATTGAGAACAACCATTGAAACATCACCATCTAAAGAAGTTTCTCATACTTCTAATCAAGATATTCTTGCAGTAGCTTTAGCTGATACAGATTTCAATCAGGAGGTAAATTCAGTTGAATTAGTTACGTCTAACATAATGACAACTGTTACAGAATCAAGTCTTATAAGTCAAGCCATACTACAGTCAACAATAATACCTCCAACAGAGCGAATATCGTCACTCTCAGTTTTAGAAACATCATTAACTTTGAATCAGCCAATAATGAGTTCAGTTGAAGTACCAAGTACTGTGTTTTGTACTAGTAACACTAGTACATTATTTACAGCAACTAATACAGAATTGTCAAACATGGTATCTCATCAAAAAGGATGTAACATTTTGATAGAAAAAACAGTACTACCCATAACTGAGGACGATCGCGCATCATTATTAGATAAAACTATTGAGAAAAAAAGTACAAGTGATGAAATCATTGATAGTTATCGTAGCAGCTGTCACAAAACTCTAAGTAAATCTAATGAAGTGTACTCTGAAAACACTACAAATAAGGTAAGATTATAGTAATTTATAAATGGACCTAGTAGAAATAAATGAAAGAACATTGTCAAATATATTTTAAAAACATTAACAAAATGAAAGTCCAAATATCTTTTCTGTTTTGAACATCTGATGAATCATTTTAAACTATTTAAAAATATCTATCGTACTTTTTATCATTGTACAATACTTAAATTCTGTTTGATTAATTCAATGGATCAAGCAATTGAATAGATCAACACCACATTGTCACTACGTTCTTTGTCAGCTGGTGTATCGATCTCGTTAGCTTTTAGCAAATAAATTAATTTTATAATGGTCAACTTTGATATTCAATATATAGACTATCTAAACCAGAGAAATACAGACAACCTTTTTTCAAACTAAGGGTGAAATGTTTTATCATAGCGAGCAAACACACACATAGGTAAAATCGCACGGATTTTAATAATATTTAGTAGGTCTGACATAAATCGTAAGTAGGTATATGACTGTAATGCTTGTAGGTAAACTACAAATTTAATTCGACCAATAGGTATACAAGCGAATGTTGATACATCTTAATCATTGTATCAAAAGGCGCATATGTATACATGGCGGCACTTTTTATACAAGCACTCTGTATCCTCCATACATATCCTTTTCTCAATATCCAATATACCAAAGATTCATAATACTAAACCACATAGTTTCTTTTTCAAGAAATTTTCTTAAGAAATAAATAAAAATAAGAAAAATATCCTCCCCGGGTGCGGATAGAACACATAACCTTCTGTTTACTTTACAGTTGCTCTACAACTTAAGGTACCGAGAAGCCGTATATTTATTCGCACCGTAAGTTTAGATAAGTTCTCATTCTTAATTTTTAAAGCTGTCTTTCACCTAAGCTCGATATAGTAGGTGTATGTATCAACATTCGCTTATATACCTATTCGCTTATATATTGGTCGTATTATATTTCTAGTTAACCTACAAGCATTAGAGTCATATACCTACTACATCGAGCTTAGGTGAAAGACAGCTTTAAAAATTAAGAATGAGAACTTAGCTAAACTTAAAATGTATTGGATATAACAACATCCCTAAGAGGATTAATTCATCGCTATCCTTATTTATTGTAATTCCAGAAAAGGAAAAAATCAGTGATTAGTTGCGAGGCAAGATTGAAAATAAATATACTTTGTATTTTATTCTTGTAAAAAATGTATATATTTCTTCAATGATTTGGTATCGATTGTATCAGGCAGACAGTCACTACAAATCATGGATGTATTTTAAATCAAAAAAGAAGACAAGAACTTGAAATTTTATCTTGTACTTACAAGTTAGTTGGATTTTTTTTTCACCAGGTTAGCGCGATAGTTTACTAGCCTAGTTACTTGGGCTACCCACTCACCGCGTATGTGTGGGGGTGTATTTTCGCAGTCGTTCACCAGCCGCCTAACTAATGTCATACCCAACTCGACCATGCTTCTCTTTTCGAACGTGACTGCCCCGTTTTTTTGGGTATGGTCTCGGTCTTTCGAGTGAATACTCCTGGACGCTGTGTTGTCTCGTTTTATCGATCAATATTTTAGAAATGTTACAACTTGTTAGCTCATAGACTCATACTTATGCAACGTTCCTATGTTTTATACTCTTTTTTTCTGTAACAATAAAGGTTTAGATTAATTAGATAACATATGTCTCAAACTTCAACGAACAAACGCAAAAGATAAAATTGCAATAGTGGATTAATGTACGTTTTGGTAGAATAAACGCTATCTTTCCTTTTTACATATAAAATGAACTTATAAAATCAATTGTACATCTTTTTTAGATCTTGAGAGCAAATAAACAAAATATCTCTGTGTGTTGGAAGACAAATGCACCAGTAGAACAAGTTTTCTGTTTCATGACCGAATTGTAGACATATGAGAAATTTTAGTTTTAAGTGTCTGTTATTAAAGACACTTCAATAAGAATAGTTAATTTTAAAAAGGCTTAACAAGAGATTCATTAGGATAAAAAATCATCACCATCTTGACTACAACAGGGGGAGAGAGGGAGCAATTTTCCCGGTTTTTGGCCCAATATATTTTTAAGAAGGCACTGAAAATAAAAAGCGGCCAGAGTAGCTTGACTGTCCGGCTGTTCCAGCCTGTGCGACCCAAGTAACGATATATAGGCTAGACTTGCTTGGGAGCCAAGCAGAAACTGCTTGGGTGATCCAGGCAAATGTGATCAGTCACTAACCAAGCAAATCTTGCTCCCTAAGCCAAGTCAAGATTGTCTATTTGGTCTCCTGCAGGCAGCGTAACGTGCGTGTGCGATTTAATTAAAAGTGTTTAATTATATGTATATATAGTACGCTATTATCATAAATAAACTAATCGGACAAGTGGAGAGTCGGCCGTTTTCTTACTGTAATGGATGAGTTTGTCCAATCCTTATTACGTCAGTGGAATTTAGACAAATTTATCGCCAGATTTAAAGGTAAGGTTATAAATTCACTTGTACGTAAGCTATAGTAAATGTACGATTGTAAACAAAGAGTGCAGTTTCACATGTTTAAAATAAATAAGCTATTGTATTTAGTTATGATAAATAGTAAGTAGTGTAGAAAAAAAATCTTACATGAGCATGAAAAGTTACAGTATTTGAATGTATGGGATGAATGATTTTTATTACAGAGGCTGGTACTGATGAGCATATTTTTGGTATTATAGACGAACATATGATTAATAATTTGTTTGAATTGAAAGAGTGCGGATATAAGAGAAAATTCGAAATGGGTTAAAATGCATGGAAACAATCACAAGATAAGAATGATGAAAAAGTTGACGCTGCAAATAAAATACACCCTCAACTCACATGTAACACTTCAAATTTTCAATTGTCCAACTCAATGGTAGTCGAAAGCAATGACATCGAATTCATTATCGATGTTAGGAATGAAGATCTCAGTAGTTCGATCTCAATTTTACGTATGCTTTATTCAGTTCTTCCTTATTTATTTTTTCCATTAATTTTTTAATACAGTGAAACATTATATATATATTCATTCTCTGTGAGCAGCTTTTGTAATAAAATTTTTAAGTAATTTTGTAGCAAAAAAGTTTATAAGAAATATAATAAATAATAAGTACTTGTAACCTCACATTGATTCTCAATATTTACCCACCTTAATAAATTGTATTTGCTACAAAAAAATCATATGCTCATGAGAAAAACTGAAAAGACCGAGCGTACTCTTACATTATTTCAGATAGATGACTTGGTTTAAAGAGCAAGATTTGCTTGGTTAGTGACAGGTCACATTTGCCTGGCTCACCCAAGCAGTTTCTGCTTGGCTCCCAAGCCAGTATAGCCTATATATCGTTACTTGGGTCGCACAGGCTGAAACAGCCGGACAGTCAAGCTACTCTGGCCGCTTTTTATTTTCAGTGGTCTTAAGAAGTCGTACAATACAGAGATTTGAAACCTCAGCATCAGTGTGGTAGAGGTCAACGGATATCAGATTCGTAATCAGCGACCCCAAATACCATGATCTACAATAAATCACCTCAGAATACGTGTTTGACAGTGTTGAATCTCTTGAAAATACCTGTCGTGAATAGGGTGCTTCCTATTCCAAAGGGTGGTAGTGGGGGTGACGGAAGGGTGGAAGAGAGTCCATTAAAGGTGGAATCAAGTTTGTATACGTTTATAAGATACTCCATGATTTTTTTTGATTTTTTTTGATTTTTTCGGCCCTAAAATATATTAGGTCAAAAACCAGCCAAATCAACCCTTCCCCATCCCCCATTTATTCATCAAAAGAGTGGAAAGTATAAAGTTTGGTTTTTTTTTAATTGTTTTTTTTAACTTCTCTCTCTCCGCCTCTCGCTGTGTATATGAAAACACACACACACGCGCGCGCATCTTTCTTTACTGTAAAAATATTTAGGAGGAGCTGTCAAAACCCCCTCCTTTACTATCCTGACCCCCTTCGTCCCGAAATTCCTGTCGTTTATCTGTAAAATGGCTCAATAGTATATAACTTAAACCACACCTAGCCCCCTCTACTTACTCGGCTCCTTCACATTTTACGTACTCAGTCAAATAGCAATAAATAAGCTTACTAAATCTTCATACACTGGACCACACTAGTATCTCTATTAACCGCGTATAGATAAAAATCCTCTGTTCCTTTTTATTGGAGTATAAAGGTTATTTTAATTAAGTTCAACCTGTTGTCATCAACTTTAGATGTGCTAGTTGTCATGGATAATGCTAAGACTTAAGAAAATTGTTTTCTGTACAAAATAGATAAGAATGAAAATGCATTTTTTGTATTTAAGCTTATTTGTGGTTTCAAAACTTTTGTTCTAAGTTTTTATTAACTGGTTTTTGATAGAATAAAAAAAAAAAAAATCGTATTATCTAACGGTGGAAAATTATTTAAATGTATATTCAATTTTGGTTAGTAATGATCTTTAGGTAAAATATATGGAATGATATATTTGTTATTTTTTTTAGAGGGTTGTTTATCTTTAGTACCTGTTTACTTGTCTAATAATTGAAGTTTATCTCAAAGATTATGGTTTATTTATTATTTCTTATTTAAAACAAAAATTTGTATTAAAAAAGTACGTTTTCAGACCCGATGTATGAATTTAGTTGTATAATACAAGAATAAAGCCAATGCAATGGTTTTGAAAATTTTTTTTATGATTATGCTTTGATAACTTCTTCTTCAATTTAAAAGTATTCAACAAAAATCTTTTCTTATAACTACTGAGTTGTTTCTTAAGAAAATTTCTATATAAATAAATTACGTACAGTCTCACACTTTCAAAGTTATTTTTGCAAAATCATACACGCCTTATCCATATGATTGAATCTACTTCTTTTTATTTTTTTGTGTATTGTGGTCCTTTACAAATGGTTACACTATTCGTTAAATTTGAAGCTAAGCAAAAACTTCTATTGTGGTCACACTTTTTTAAAGTTGAAAGAATGCAATGCTAGTCCAAGCCATAAATGCCTCT